GTACCTCGGTGACCACCCCAATCCACGCGTACTCGAGTACTCTCCAAGTACTTGTACCGTACGCACACAACCCTGCCACGCCACTCCAATAACGCCCGCCCCCATGCCCAACGAGCCAACGAGCGCCGCACCCGTACAGTTACCCATGGAGCAATCCATTACGTGATGTGATACGGTATGCCTCCCCCGCCGCTTCCCCCTCGGCTCTGGAGACAAAGCGGTCACCGCTACAATCCTTACTTGCAGATACGGTGCTGTATATGGACAGACAGCCTCCGGTGAGATACCGGTACGGCAGGAAGTGACGGAGGGAAGGAAGGGCGCGAACATCCGCTTGGGATCTTGGGTTGCGGCTCTCTCCGGGAGGAGGAACGGCAAATCACGCGGCAGTACCGTACAAGGACGAGTACGTTCAACACATTACTAACCACTCGAGCGGGTGCGCTCGCAGATCACAACACGCCATGGTCCTAAACCCCCGACTCAATCAAAAGGTGAGTGGCGACCTCCATAGCCCCTATCAGGACAATATTTCCACCCCCCCCAGCGAATTTCCCTTCGCCAATGGAGTTAGCACCACAACCACTAGCAAAAAAACGTTGAAATAAGAATTCCCCTCCACAATCCGACTCCCTTGCGCCTTCAGAATTTCCTCGCTTAACCCCCTTACTCCCGAATCGTTACTGAATGTTTCGCCCCAGCTGCAATAACCAGCCCGAGGCGCGAACCTGACCAGCTAATGCGATTTGTGCACCTTGTACCACTATGTTACGCATTCAGCAGCCGTTTATGTAAGGGGCGCCTCTGAGGCTGATACTCTAAAAATAATATGAAAAACGTGTGATGGGGCGATAGAGTTAAGGCTTAAAACACCTCGACAGTTCTTGCGGCCTTCACCATCGTAAGCGTGGTCTCTGAGCATGGAGTATTTGATTAATCCCGTTTATTTGCTTAGTCTATCCCTCCCTTAGTTTCCTCCCTTTTTCGCTGGCTTGATTGATGCATTGATCCGTCATTACTGTACTGCATTGTACAGTACCGGTACCCCGGTAACGGACTGCCCTTCAACGCGGGCATATATACATAATGAATTAATCCTAATCACCGTACACGCGCTTTCATCGGGCCCATCCTTCCGAGATAGGTAGGTATAGAAAGCCTTGAATCCAGCCTCCCGCTGCACGGAATAAAAGCTCTCCGGGAGCGTATCGTGTACAGTACAGCACTACCGTACATTGCTCTCCCAAATGTTATGATAAAAGTACAAGTATCGCGGTCGCCCGTGCAGTTGTGGCTTTCGGATCTTACGGTACTGTACAGTACGGTGCGTACCATCACGCATTCCGGAAATAAGGTTTTGTAAGTCCCAAGGCGATGGAAATGCCGCACTATGCTGTACGAGTACTGTACAAGTACAGTATGACACAGTGCTTGAAGCGCCCGCCGCTCTCTCGCTCTCTCCACCCGCCGGCACTTGGATCGTTAGGGAAGGCAGGCAGGCAGGCAGGCAGGTCCGGTAGTACTGCAATATTCCGTCACAGGCTTACCGTGCTACACGTATATAAGTAATCTCTCCAAGCACTACCGTATCGTACAGTACAGTACAGTACAGTACTGCACCTTAATCGAACAAAATAAATTAAAGTTATGATGTGTAGAGTCACCATGCGGTACAGTATTACTCCCATCCCTTCTCACGCCTTGCACCCCCCCGCAAAATCATCCCGGCATACCGTATCAAACTTAATCATCAAAGTGCTGTACTGTACTCGTACACACTTCAATGCACCCCCACCCCACGAATCGACCCGCCACTCCCGAGAAGTGGAGATTGATCACTCACCACTTACTGTACTGGACTGGACTTCGGGAGCACAGTAAGTGAGCACGATAAGTGAGAAGTTTGACCTGGCAAAAAAAAAATTTAAAATAAAATTGTCATGCGCACGGCACTCAAGCACTCTCGACAGACAGGAGGATAATCTTCCCCGGTTTTTTAAAAAAAACCCCGAAAATAAAAATGAAAATAAAATAAAAAATAGAAATATCCTTATTATTGTTATATTGCACGTTAATGCCTTCTTCTATTGCGCCTCTTTTTACTCTTGCGTGGTTGGTGTCGCGATTTTTGCACTGTAGGGGTAAGTTCAGTACCGTACCGGTATCATAGATAGGATAGAAGTCAGTGGATTGGCGGGCGGATGGGTAGGGGGGGGATAGGACAAAGGTATGGATGATACCCCCCCTCCCTCCCCCTCCCACGTACTTGTATGATACTTTACCACAAAATTTGTTACCGTACTGGCGGTATAACAAAGTGTAAAGTTACCGTAGTCTGGTTCCTGGTTGGCACTGTACTTTACTCGTAGGTACAAGTAAGAATATTTGCGGTAATTTTACATGATACGAACTACCCTTCCATGGAATAACCCGATGGACTAATTACCGTACCGTATGGTACTCGTACTCGTGCCAGTAACGGTAGGTTCGAATTTTTTGATGAGCTAGGAGGAGGAGGAGGAAGGATGCGCGGGGGGGGGGGGCATACAGGTACGGTATGTACCGATCATATTCCTTGACCCGGGCTAGCAAAAATCACCTACCTACCTACCTACCTCCTAACTAAATTTCTAGTGACCCGAAGGAATGAATGAATGAATGAATAAGCTTTCCAGAGGAGGAAAGGATGGGTTTGTGGCTCAGACTTGATTTGTCCTTTCGGGGAAACCCCCCCCTGATTCCACGGCACTGCAATCACCGCGTCCTCCGGCATGGGGAGGAGGGGAAATCCGCATTACTTATCGATAAGGTGGATTCTCCTAAGATGGCACTGCAATATTGGATGATTCCGCTTGTGAAACGGGTGCTGGGCACGGTGGACGTTGCCAAGATTAAGCTACCGGTGCTGGTTGCTGCTCGGGTCGCTAGGGCATTGTTGAAATGATTTCTCCGCTACTCTACGTGTATTATCATACAGGTATCATATGTGCGAGTAAATTATAGTCTTATCCCACCATACAGGCAAGAGTGCAGTCGGGGGGGGGTATTCACTTTTTTTTTTTGTGTTGGATTCGCAGGTTTTGATTTTGGCGAGAATTCTGCAGTGAGGGTTTGAGCCAGGCTCGCACATACGATATCAGCCAAGGTGATTCGCTTCCGCGCCTGATCCTCTTCGCGGTCTAATACGTTGCGGGTTTTGACCTGGAGGATCATTAATTCTGTCCCAGCGGTTACTCAAGCACTCAAGTATGGCACCGGTGCTTGTTACACGCATGTGATGGAAATGCTATCGTTATTATTATTATGATGATGATGGCAGGCAGGTACTCGTACAGTACTGTGCGGTACCGGTGGGCTGGGTTGTGGCTATTTGTGGTGGTTGTGTGGGTACGGCAAGGTACCGGCGCCGTATCAACCCAGCGCTGGTGCTCTAAGCGCCCGGTCACAACTAATCCTCACGACCGTAGAGCAAGCTCTGTGGGCGAGACCGGCTCCATGATACGAGTACAGTGCCATGGGAGCCGCTCTTTGTGAGGGACGAGTTGCTAAACCGGTGCTGCTACACTAGATACTATACTTAGACTGTGTTGCTTTATTCCCTGTCTTCCTCTCTACAGAGCGTCGCTTTCGCTGGGGGGCGGGCGGCGTCTCTTGCGGGCAAAACGGTTTTTGAATGAGGCTCGTTGCTAAATGCTTTCGCTCCTTGGTTTCCTCATTCGCGCCCTTCTCCCTCGCTTGGATTGCCGACTCCTCCTCATTCACCCACAGTCAGGCTGTTGGCGTTTCCATGCTCGCACCCTCGCACCCTTATCCATTACGTCGCGCCTCCGTATCGTGGAGCGGACGGCCCGTCCAATCTTGGCTGTTAATTTGGAATTTTCCCCTTTTGTCCGTCTCCCAAACCAGTCACGACAGGATCTGAGAAAGCTTAACTGAACCACCTTCCACCAATCGGATGGTGATTCTCACCAGAGAGTGGAAATGCTGGGCCAATACCACGGCGGTACGGCACTTGTAGGAATGCGCACCAGGGTACTGTTGAAGAAAAAGCGAACCCGCGTCTCAGTGTCTCGCTGGATCTGCCCGGTACGAGCCATTGATTCGCCCGCCAAGCGCAGAGCTAATTTAGCTAGCCTGGGCATCTTCGCAGCAGCTGTACGCGGGCCAAGGCAACGTTGTGACCGGCGATGGGACACTTGTAGAATTGTGAGTCTCTCTGAAAGGGCTCGGGCATCAGTGCTGAGTCTTTTCGAAACGCTACCCCCTCACAAACGGATCCCGGGAGGGAAAAGGAAAAAGCGGCGCCGAGAGGCAAAAATAGGCAAAAAATCGTGGCTTGTGTACTTTTGTAGGGTACAGTACAAGTACAAGCGGTGTTGAGCTGAAGTGATCAGGGCTGACAGCCGATGCAGAGGTTTTTCGCCAAAATTGATTTCCATGCTTCCCACCCACAGCCACAGTCCGCAATGGGCTAAATCCCCTGTTTCGGATGACGGCGATTGGAAGGTGAGAGAGGGTTGTCACTCAGGGGGAGGAAGCGGTCAAGGGTGAGCGAGCGATGGGATGGATGGATGGATGGATCAGGGCCACAGTAGGGATTTGTGCTCTTGAAGCTTACGGTACTGGTGTTGCACTCGCTTTTCAGCGCCGAGGTACAGTACTCGTATCGTATGTGGATGAAAGGTTCCGTCTCGGCAAACTGTGGGATGTCACCGCCTATCAGACGTCAAAGGGAGGGATGGTTGGCTTTGACGTGGGCTGGGTCACGCTGGGCGGCTGGGCTCTGGTGATGGGATGCCACAGGATGCGCAGATCTACGCCAGCACTTGACCCAAATACCGGTATGCAGGCACCATTTTGTGGGCAAATCACGGCACGGGTCCTTGAGTTACTTGTACTTGTAGCCACCCAATGGGCTGCAGGCACCGCCGAGCACACAACCCTTCAACGACTGAACCCCAGCTACGAGCACCTTGGAGTGAGACCGGAGATGCGAAGCTGCTGTCCACCACCACCAATCAACCCTGCTGCCAATGAACCCGTTCGATGGAGCCCGGACGGGGAAAAGGAAAAAAGGATGGAAAAGAAAAGAAAGGAAGAGTTTCCAATGGGGTCAGCTCGCTCGCCGCCGCTTCCCTGAGGTCCTCCCTCGTTTACCCCCTAACAATCTTGTGACCCCCCTCAGTCATTTTGGCCCTTCTCTCTCTCTCTCCCTCTCTCCCCCCTTTCTTGTCGAGATATAAGATGTCCGGGACCGCCCCGCTATCATGTCTTTTTTTCCCCTTCCCCTCTCTCCTTCACCCTTCACCAGAGCATTTCACTTCCTTAACGACTTCTTTCACTACCTTCGATAGGTTCGACCTTTCCCACACGCCAGCGGCAACCCCCCCTTTGGAATCTATTCTGTGAATAAATTCCATATTCCATTCCTTACCGGACTTGTAGGCTATTACGGTGCATATCTCTTCCTGAGGTGAGTTTGCCTCGATGGCCCATTTTCACCCTGTTGCCCACTCCCATCTACTCTTCACCTGTCGATGGATTATGGATCCTATTACGCGGTGCATCACCGAAGCGTTTTCCATTGACAAACCTCAAAGAAGAGCTCGGATGGCCACCTCCCCCTGCCCCCTTCCCGTTTGTCTCGATGAATGGGTGGATGGATAGCAAGCTTTCTCGTTGTTTTGCTCTCGTTTTGCATGTTGCTGACCCTTAGCCCGCCTCTGGGTCTCTAGAATTTAGATAATTCATAAAAGTTTGTCGGGCTACAATCAATCCACTCATTCTTTTAACGGACTTATTTCCATATCACTCGAAGCGATAGCCACACCTGCAGGCCCAAAACAAATCACATTCACTTTCCAACAAAGTCGTCGACAGAAAGAAGCTAGTCTTTTTCCCCTCCCAGCTAAAGTCGTTTTCCAACAAGATCCACAATGAAGTTCTCAGCAGCAGCCGTCGCCGCCTTGTCGGTTTTTCTCCCTCAGATCGTCTCGGCCCACCTGGTCATGGTCGAGCCGAAGCAGTGGTTCGTTCCTGAGGTCATCCGTGGCAGCGTCGAGACCAGCGATAGTCAGCAGCATCCTCTACAGGCCGATGGGTCCAACTACCCTTGCCATGGTGTTGCTCCGGAGGATGTCGTGGCAACTTATGAGCCTGGAAGCACCCAGGAGCTCAGCCTCAAGGGCACTGCCGTGCACGGTGGTGGATCTGGCCAGATGTCCATCACCTACGATCTCAAGCCCACCAAGGATTCCAAGTTCCGTGTCATGCAGTCGTGGATGGGTGACCATCCTATCAAGGCAGCTGGTAACTTGGGACCTGATGACAGAGACCCAGGTAACCTTGGAGCTGAGTTCCCCTTGAGTAGCATCAATCCTCTCACCTTCAAGGTCCCGGCTGGCCTTCCTAAGGGCAAGGCTGTAGTCGCTTGGTGAGTCTCGCGTCCCATCGCTCCTGATGGATAGACAACTAATAATGAGAACAGGACCTGGTTCAACAAGCTTGGCAACCGAGAAATGTACATGAAGTGTGCCACCGTCGAGATTACTGGCCAGGAGACGTCCACCGCTGGCTTCGAGGCCCTCCCGGAGATGTTCCGCGCAAACTCTGGCAACGGTTGCCAGGTCCCCGCGGGTATCGATGCCATCGCATTCAAGAATCCAGGACCCGCGACGGTAGGAACCGGGGTCACACCCGTCGCCTGCGACAATACACAGCCCGGCTCTGGCACACCATCTACCCCCGGCACCGGTAACCCAGAAAAGCCCGGATCTGGAAGCTCCAGCGCCTCGAGTGTCGCCGTCAAACCAACCGGAACCGGCAGCCCCAGCTCCTCGAGTATCGCTGTCAAGCCAACCGGAACGGGCTCCCCAGCACCTATCGGCACTGCTCCCCCTTCCAAAACCGGCTCCACTCCCCCTTCCAAGACCGGCTCCACTCCTCCTTCTTACACCTCCGCTCCCCCGGCTCAGACTAAGGCACCCACCCAGACTTCCGCTCCTTCCGAGCAAGGTCAACCTCCGGCTGGTGGTGCTTGCACTGAGGGCGCCGTCGTCTGCAATGCGGATGGAACCTGGTCCCAGTGTGGATCCGGACGCCTCCAGAATATGGGCCCGGTCGCTCCCGGCATGGTCTGCAAGAACGGAGTCTTCGATCGCCAGAGGCGATCCATCCGCTTCTCGCACGATCACATGCGCCGTCGTCATGCGGGTTCTGAGGTCTCGCAGTAGAGTGAATGGGGGGGTCGGCGGTTCGAAGTTCATAGACCGGGAAGCGGGTACACAAATATTCATGTATCTTCTCATTCTTATTTTTATTTTTCTTCTTATTTTTTTGTCTAGCTTTCGGTTGTTTTTTGATTGGTGCTGGGGGGGGCGGTGTTGTGAAAATAAAATCTAACACGGGAAGTAGGGGAAAAGAGTGTAAAAAAAGGTCGTCGAACGACATTTCGGTTGTGCATTTCGGGCCTTGTAATATAATTCTATAAAAAGATGCCTTTGAAACTTCTAAAGAACTCTGTTCCGAGAACGAATTCCCCTGCTAGCTGCGCCTTTTGTGCCGGGGACATGGAATATCACTCGACCTGCCACGATTCACCAGACAGCGTGGGGCCCGAGGCGGTACCATATTTCGGTGGTGGAAAACGTGAGATGACGCGGAGTCTACCTGAGCCCAAGCCCTGGTGGCGTTAATATTGATACCGTACTCGAGTACTCCCTGCATGGATAGAAGATTACACTCTACCAACCGCACTGTGAGAGATGGTGAGGGAGTTTCGATAATGAGTTGTAAACCCGGATACCGATGTTCTTCTCCCCCCCAAACGAAAACTGACATTGTCCGCATCCAACTCGAAGAAGCGGCTCCCCCTATGTACTGTATGTGGCTCTCACCCTGGACGTTGCGCATCCAATCACCCATTACTTGGAAGAATGAAGGAGAAAAAATCTCGACCTAACCCATTCCCGCCTCACCCTCCCCGACTTGCCATTACGTATTGCGCGATAGACAGCACTGTACAGTACCATCGCGAACAAAAAAAAAGTGGGAGGGGGAAATAACCTATTACAAAGAACGAGTCTCCACATATCATACCAATGGGAACGTAACGAATCCTCAATGCCCCGACGAGAGAAACGGACCAGAATTTCGGCACGGATGGTGGGCGGGGATGCCATCACCCCTCTGCCACTCTCCCTTGTAACGCCGGTAAGTACTGTACCATAGTATCACACTTTTATATAATCGGCTTCGTACGGTGGCAAACTACCGTACCATATAATACAAACGGTACGATGAGCGTTGTGCATCCATCCATCCTCCCGGTCCTGTGTAGTCTACAGTGCCAGTAACTAGTACAGCACAGTATACACTTCAAACCCGAACAACACGTCCCACGACGAATGGCAGGGAGGAAAAATTTCCCAACCTCTTCAACGAGAGCTTCTTCAATTTTGGAAAGAAAAGGAAGGTGTTAATCGGCTTTTTTTTTTTTTTACGGGCATCTGTTGCGTGGGTGCCTGGATGGCTATCACGGTGCTGTAGAGTACTAGTGCAGTGCTGACGTTATACCTATGCTAACATGACGGCTCAAATCTCTTGGGTGAATTTCGCTCGCTTGTGGGGAAGTAGGATCGGTCTTTGTATGTGTATTCGTGTATCGGTTTTCCTTTCCGTCGTGTGGTGACTGTTGGTAGGCGGGTCATGGGTGGTCACTCGAGTCTAGAGTGTCTGTCTATGGGTGTTGTAAGACTGCTGTAAGGCATGATCATACCATAGCTTTCCTGATAGGGAAGGAAGGAAAGGAAGGAAGGAAAGAAATGTGGAACGAACGGGACATACTGAAAGTGGTGAAATCTACCGAATGGGGGTGAGTGGGGCGATCGTGGCGGATCGGGCCGAGGGTATCGGTTTGGATGGAAAGGGTATCTGTGGTCGGGAATATTTGTATAAAAGGGTGGATGGCTGCCCGGTACTTCTTGGAGGTGATGGTCGCAACGATACTTTTCTGAGATTACCATCTGTTCTGCATACTGTCTATTTATTTATTCATTCCTGAGAACATTTCTGCTTCATCTTTTTTAACAGTGGGGTCTAGGGGATAATTAGTGAGGCATGGTTGGGGTTTTTTTCCTCTTCTTTTTTCTTTTGTCTTTGTGGAGAGTGGCGTGATTTGGAGGAGAGTTGCTGAGGTTGAAATCCCATGCGTGGTTTATTCCCAGCCTGGAGAGGAAAAAGATAAAAGATATTCTATGATAGGAGATGCCGTGACAATTTGAAAATCAAAATCAAAAAAAATACTCATGTAATCACCGCTACAACCTCGCCTTAATCCCCTCCCTCTCCCGGTGCCAACATTCCCTCCACCACCAATTCTCTGCCAGAACCCTCGCTCCAACAGCCCCAGCCACCGGGGGTAGCCCCCAAAGCATCCACTTCCACCACCCATCCCTGCCCCCCTTCAACCCATTCACAACCCTCGAAACCTCCTCCCGCAGCTCACCGAGACTCCCATCATTCGGGATGGCCGCTCCCCTTGCTCGCGCACCGCCAAAAACCCTATCGCACAGCTCCACCTTCTCCTGAATGCTCATCTGCGATGCCACACGCTTTTCCGCGTCTTGGCGCGTGAGGTGGTTATCGCGGGCGAGTAATCGCTCTAGCTGCACCGCCGGGGAGGAAACGGAGACGACGAGGACCGCGCCGCAGATCAGGTCCAAGGAGGACTCGAAGAGTAGCGGGATGTCCAGGACGACAGCCCAGGCGCCGGAGAGGTAGTGGTATGCTATCGATTTATACCTACGGTATGTCCCCCATGTCAACAAAAGCCCACAAGGGGTGGGGAGGTAGAAGCCAACATCTCCTTCTTGACGAGCGGGTGCACAATCCCGTTCAACACCGCCCGATCCTTCCTCCTCTCAGCATCGTCGCCGAAGACGCGCCGGCCTAGGACCGCCCGGTTCAGCGTCCCGTCCCCGTTCAGCAGGCCCGGGGTGCTCTCAGAAAAGTGCCTCACTATGGAAGAGTGTCCCCGTGTGCCCACTTCCACCACCTTCCGTGCGAGCTGGTCCGCGTCTATTATCGGGAGTGCATGGTCCTTTGAGAGGATGCTTGACACGGTGGATTTTCCCGTCGAGATGGAGCCGGTAAGGCCTATCAGGAGCATTTTGGCTGGCTTCTCTTTCGATTGCGCAAGGGAATAAAGGGCGGGAGAAGGCGGCGCTGGATCCGGATGGTGAATGGACCCCAGGGCCTTTCTGTTCTCACTGTATTTAGGGGGGTTTTGTCGGGATGGGGTGGTAGGGAATGGGCGAGGGTTTTTAAACCTTGGATGACGTGATGAGGGTAGGACCGAGTTTGGGTTATTTTTCTCGGATGGGAGGCTGTTGCATCTGTCTCGTTTATCATAAGTTTCTGGTATTACCATACTCCAACTATTATCTCTCAATTTACCGTGGCCACCCGCCTGATCTCCGTCGAGGACTTTATTTCCCTATTCCGATGGGGAAGCCAATTGCACTTTTCGCCCTATACCGCATACTTTGGCACCACCGAGTGCTGTGTTGCACTGCCGACTATAACCTGTCGGACCACGACTATTCACACGATTGGAAAACCTTGCACTTGAGCTACGGTGAATGTCTTGTGGGCAGCAATAGCCGGCCAACTGCTTTGTTTACGCTTTCAAGTTCACGCTAAATCGTGAGTTATGCAAGTTCATGCTTGGACTCCGATCCTGCTCGTAGTGTGAACTTGTATCAGACTTGGGAAATTAGGAAGGTTGAAGACTGTTGCTGTAGCAACAAGTTCAGGTTCACCTTCATGCCCGTCTGCAGAACCTCCCAATTCACACGATTGGTCGCAATGCTTTGACCTGCTCGGCCCTCATATCAAAAAAAATAATTATCAAAGTCTAGTCTTTCCCATTTCTACGCACCGAAGGACCGAACCGCTTCGCCCCGGATTCGCCCAATCGCGCCATCATTCACCCTCAACCGTAAGACCATCACAACTCCCCAAGACAGCAACCCATATATTCCGTCCGAGTGATATCATACAAATACCGGATAAAATTTCTCGTAAAGAAAACAGATAAATAATGAAAGCCTTTTCCCCCTATCGTAGCACATCGAGACACCCGTAGAGCGGGGCAAAGCCTTATTTCTTCACCTTCTTGGTGGAAGGGCCGTCGTCCTCAACGCCATTGCGCTTCTGCCCCTGGCGGTCGACATCGACATCTAGGATCGCGCCGTTCTCGATGTCGGAATCCGACTCGATGTCTACCTCGGCTTCATCGTCGTCATCATCCTCTTCGAACGTTTGACCTGTTTGTGCGTTTGTGTTAGCCAACTAGGATTTCCCGGGGAATGGGAATCACCCACTGAAATACTTGGGAGCGTTGGGATAAATGTCCTCGCCAAGTTGGATGGCCAGTTCGTCGCCGTTCGGGAAGGTTTGTACAATTCCAACGTTGTCCTCTTCATCCTCGTCCTCATCGGTCGCTTCATCCTTGACTTCCCCAAGGCTGGCATGCTTCCCCGTCCATTCGAACCAATTGAAGAAGCTGGATGGCCCCTTCTTCATCAACTCCTCAAGTTTCTTCGTGCCCTCACCATCCCTCCTCCCACTCTTGCGCTCCTCCCAGGCTTGGACTGCCGCAGCGCTAACCCCCTCAGTCAGATCTTTCCCATCCTTCCACTTGATACCGACAGGAACACTGCTCATCTGCCCATGCTTTCCGAAGACAAAAGTCTTGGCCAGAACAGTGTCCTCGAAAAAGGCATTCTCTTCGAAGGTGAAGCTAAGGCGGATGGTGCGCGGCTCGTTGTCGACATCTGGACGGGTGAGAGTCATGGAGCGTAGGGAGCGGAGGAGGTGACCGTCCTCGGGCGTGATGAACTCGTCGAAATTGAGCATTGAGGAGGTCTGCTCGATGACCAATGGCCAGAAGCCTTTGATTTGAGAGGTTATGGCATCGCGCTTTTGGAAGAGGGGTAGATGGCTATTGTATGTCACGCGCACTGTTATTCTCCCATTTTTTCGCGGAGGTTAGCTGAGTGCTTTGCCTCCCGGAGTTGCTGGGGATGGGGGAAAGGGGGAAAGGAAAGGAAGGGGGGATTACGGGTTTGCACTTCCAGCGCGTCGAATTCCTTCTCGAGAGCGGCCAGGTCGCCCAAGTGTTGCTGGGTCGCTTCAAAGTCAACATTTTCCTCGGCCATTTTTCCGGATTGCGAATTGGGCAGCGAGGGAGGGTGAAAGGGAGTTGTGTTGGCGGTTGCGGTCGAGGCTGTGGGTGTTGGGTCCTTTTCACCTATTTATCGCTGGGGAAAGGGACGAGGAAGGCTGCCAAGAAGTCAGGGCTCGTTCTCGTAAAGTATCACAACTCAGCCCAAGGGGCTGGACGCACGAGTAACGCACTCGCATACGGTAGTGCTGGTAGACCTGACGCTTGAGCCTCCTCGAGGCGATGCTCTGCGCTACTGCGTCTCGGGTATTTATTGGAACGGCCAATCGGGTGCACACACACATACGATAATATCATGACGCCAACAGCCGGCGGCAGCGGAGGAAAGGGATTTGGTGATGGCTGTGAAGGGAGAAATGTTTTGCTCATCGGTATCGTTCAAGTATATGGTTTCCGAAATCCCCTTGGTTCCGATCATTGCAATGAGGAAGTGGTCCTCGCTATCCCCAGATCCAGCCAACATTGACGAACCGACAGTCTTCCGGAAGAATCGCATCCGTGATGGCTCCGCCTACATACCATTATCCCACCTATCCTGCGTGCACGCAGAGCCCCAACACCTATAACCCATATCCGCACAATACCCATCGCTGCGCGGGGCCCTTTATGCTTGTGGGATTTTTGCGATTATGGTCCGGAGGAGGAGGGGTACCAGCGGGGGAACCGTTTAGTACTGTAGCATGCTTGTACGGGATGCGGTGGCCTGGGCCTGTACTCGAGTACTTGTACTGTACCGTACTGTACAGTACTCGGGTACCGGTAGCTACAAGTAAATTTATCATGCCCGGGTGCAACAATGTATCCTACGTTATGGGTCCGTGGTCATTCATTGGTGGGCTCACCCAGTCGCTCCTTCAACCGGTGTCTCTCCGGTCTGGTCATGAAATGTCACCATACTCGAGGCTCGAGCACTCGGATACCCCCGACTAAAACTGCGCGTGAATCTAATCTAATCTAATCTGCGGATCTCTTGATATCCTTGCAAAACTTTTTTTTTTTTTAATTATCGTACCTGACATTTACGGACCACCGAGCCTCACATAACCGTCACTCCGTATACAGAATGAAGTTCGCTGTCGGCGACGACGTCGGCCAGCTAAAAAGTCCCCTTCTTCGAAACCCCTAATCTAGTGCTATTCCCATCCCCGCTAACAATTCGCAGTAATAACCGCCTCCCGCGGCACCGATACTTCTCTCAAGACCTCCGCCCGTGCACGCATTTCTACGTACTTTACACCGGACGGAAGGGACCCGGTGTATGCCGTTTGTAAGATTGACAGATACCAGGGCGAGGAGCGGGCTGGGCTGGTATCACCTCCCCGCACGAAAGCCGGATTGAGCGCGGGGCAGCTAATTGCGGGTAGGTAGCGGTGGTCTTCACCTCCGGCAGGGTCGGGGTCGTCGATACAAGCGTCTCTCCGATCTCCGGCGAGGGGAATTATCTTCTCTATACTCATGCCTCTGAAACGACCCCTCCTACCGCTGCCGCAGCGAGTCCGGTGATATCCGCCGGTATGCAGGATGGAATCCTTTACCTCTTCCGCGCAAATGGCCAAGTTGTATTCCACCGCTTCGATGGGGAATCGCCGTCCGTTAAGACTGTGCCCCTCACTGGGGATATAGCCGCTGGCGCGGTATTCACGGAACACCTTGTGAACGGCTGGCCGAGTGCTATCGCGATCGGCGGCCGGAAGCGGGACTTGGAAATTTTCGAACCTACGACGGGGGAAGGAGGCTGGAAGAGTGTTTGGAAAGCTAAAAATGTGAAGCAGGATAGACTGGGCTTGGAAGTCCCGGTTTATATCCGTAGGATTTTGTTTTTGGGCACTGGAGGGGTGGAAGCGGCGGCGAATACAACAGCGACCCATCCTGGGGGACCTACAACCGTGCAGACATCCGGTAGGAAGTACAGACTAGCAACTGGAACCCACCACTCGCATCTACGAATCTACGACACTGCCGTCTCCCGCCGCCCAGTCTTCACCGCAACCCTTACCAAATCCCCCGTATTATCCCTCCACCTCCACCCCTCCACCCAATCTCCCACCTCCACACCCCTAACCGCGCCCAACACCTCTCCCGAATCATCGACAACCTCATCCCCCCACAACTGGATTTACTCGGACTCGAATGGGCACTTTGCGCTCTACAGCTCTAGCACCCGCCGCGAAGTGGGAAGCTACAAGGGCTCCACCGGCGCCGTCAATGCCACTGCCACATCTTCCGGAGATGTCGTTGCGGGAGTAGGCTTTGATCGGTATCTTCGTGTTTATGAAGGTGCCGGGAGAGAGATTGTTGTTAAGGCTTATTTCAGGAGCAAAGGTACGGCGGTGGCGGTGCTGGATGTGGGGGATGATGTGATTGAAGTGGAGAAGTCGCTGGAGGAGGGGGAGGAGGAGGAGGAGGAGGAGGTTTGGGGGGAGATGGAGGAGGTGGTAGGTAGCGGGAGCGGAGAGGAGGAGGGGGATTTTACTGAGGCTCTTGTGAGCGTTCGTAGGAGGAGGCCGAGGACCGATAGGGAGGGGGGTGGGAGTAAGAAGCGGAGGGTGGAGGCTTAGGTTAGGGTGCGGGGTGTGTACAATAGTGTTATGGTAGGGGATTAAAAGGCTTTGTTTCATTTTAATTCGAGAAAATGAACCATTGTTTAATCAACTCTCAGGCTCGGAGTCTCCCCCCCTTTTCCGACCTTTGCGTGCCAGGTCATGACCCGGCTGTGGAGGATGGCATCCACATGGCTCTAGAAGCCTGGACTTGACACGAGAATTGCGACAACTTTTAAGTGAAAACAGGACCGTGATGCAATCGATCAGGCCTAGACCACCAATGGTATTTCAAAGGAAAAATTGTGCCCACAATACCGTATGTTGAGAAAGTAGACATATTTTTGGAGCATTACGGACCCCACCGCATCAAACCCCGTCACTGCTATTTCCGTCAGAGAGGGAATTTGGCCCATATAAAGTCCATCTTTCCTGGAACCATACCCGTATCACATTGCTCTCATAATCCTTAACTAACCCCTCACACCCCCCATAACCCTAATGACCAAGCACAAGTCCGTTGAACGCGATGATTCACAGATAGGACTATTCTGGACCGCTGTTATGTGCTGGAATTATGGTATCGAGCTTGGGTTCTTTTATCGTGCTGCAGGTCTCGCTGTGTGTCGTTTCGTTCCATGACTGAATCTTCATCGCTTATTGTAGGTAGGCGGTCCGGGCGGGGTTTCTGTTCTTGATGCTTGGAACTTTTGTGGCTCCGGGTGAGGGTTTCTTCCTGCGTTGGTATTATGGGAAGTTTTGTCGGGGATACTTAGGGTGTGGTTGGCGGTGTTTTTTTTTTGGGGGGGGGGGGATGGTTGGGTTACGATAGCAACCACTGGACTGTGATACCTCGATTTATTGTGCTGGATTTCGGGTTGTAGCTGTTGTCGGGTGCCAGTCATGCTCCTGGACAAAAGTACTCATACTCGTACTCCGGCGAGGTAAGTGTCGGCACTTGGTACTTTTGTATGATAGTCGTTCGGGAGGATAAGTGCAGTCTCTGTTTATTCCCTTAGCTTGGGAGATATGTAGGTTGGGAGTGGTGGGTTTGTTGCCTTGAGGGAGCCGTGTAGACTAGAGGTTGGTTGGCCCGTGCATGCTCACTCGTGTTTATGCAAAGGTTGGGGTGGAGTGGGGGGGATACAGTATGGTACTCGTACTCGTGCCTCCGAGCCAAGAATTGGCACCTCTTTTGGAATAGTCCCCTCGGAGCCATAAAAAGTTTAGTGTTTGAGCCATCTCAAAGACTCTATCACCGGTGACACAAAATACAGTGCCACATAATGAGTGGGAGTGGCCACTGGCACGGCAGTCGCAGAGTGCAATCCCTCACGCTACAAGAGCAGCCTCAAGACTACACTCTCTACGGCCCCGTGGAGGCTATTCCAAAAGAGGTGCCAACTCTTGGCGCGGAGGCACGAGTAGTGGGGCGGTACACAACAGATACGAAATGGTTATCTTATCCTAGCAGCTGCTATGGAATCTAAAGCCTCCGGTGCAAGTGCAGTGCCTTGCTGTACTAGTACTACTCGCGCTGGGATTGGGGGTTGGAAATGCAGTGCCTGTGGTTCAGGATCTCTGTGGGTGAGCAGACCTCTTGATTTCATTTTAATTTTCTAGCATATTTTTTCTCTACGAGTAGTCTACTGCCCGTTCTTCACACGCTCCCATTGCTGTGAATTGGCTACTGGTAGTGAGGCTTGTTCTCAGTCTAGTGGGAATCCGTGTCTGGCGGTGTACTATCTTCTTTCTTCCGCTTAGTTCCGCGGGGTGCTTAAGTTCTGATCCGAGATGTACTCGAGTACAGTATGATACATCTGTTCAATTCTGGAGAAGTGAGAGTCATATCACTACCGTAGGGTGTTTTTCACCGCCGTTTGGGGCACTGCATCTGGCTTCTGCCCATATCTCGGGAGGTTTGCTGTGATAGCTTATTGTGCATCATGAAAGTTTGAAAGCTTTATGGGAATGACATCATAGTCTATTCCTCCGTGGGGATATCACCGGTGGTGGGAAAGCTCGATGCCTGAGGTAAATACCGATAAGTAATCGGACTTGGGCTTCGTATTCACTATTCTTGGCATTACCGGGAAGTGAACGAGCAAGTGCATTCTAGGCTGCAGCATCCGAATTCTTCTTCACAACACAACGCGCCACAACAACGAGGCATTCGAGCTCCCGGGCCCGGAAATCTACTTTACTTCCTCATCTCGACAGCTCCACCGACTAGCAAGCAGGCAAGCAAGAAATCATGAAGTTCACCGAGAACCTCACCCTCACCATCCTCCTCGTCTTCACATCATCCCTCCTCCTCCAAACCTCCAGCACCCCCATTCCCGCCTCCTCACCCGAACCCACCCCAGCAGAGCTGGAAGACCTCGCCCTCGTCAACCAGAAATCCTTCCAAATCAGCATCCCCGTCTACAAGGTCTCGGACGACGGCCTCACGGCGGAGCCGCTCAACCAGACCGCCGCCACGGGATCGGTGTTTTGCCAGACCACCAACGGGAGCCCGTACGTCTGGGACATCTACCGGGCCGCGTTCCCGCTCGGTAACAAGGGCGGTTGGTGCCGACAGTTGAACCCCGGCGGCTCGGGGTGCACCTCGCATTCCCACTGCGGCACGGCGGCGTTGAGCCTTTGCGGGACTTGGATGCTTGCGGTGAGGTGCCATGAGTTGGCCTGGGTGGCGAGGTCGATCGCGGAGAATTGTAGGTTGAATCATCGTGCGGGTGGGGAGTTTTATTTTCATCAGGAGCATGGGTGGTTGAAGGGGGTTGTGCATTGGAATTTTTAGTCGGGGTGGAGGGAGTCGGCAGCTTGTTATGATACTCTTGTGATTTTTTGGTGTGTGCAGGTGCATTGTGCTTGTGGTACATAAGTCTAATAATGGATGATTTGACCCGTTTGAATAAACTTGAACTCATAGTATATGCGCTGTCCGGAAGGATACTTTGTGTTTGTCTGGTCTAATTGTTACTTGGGGTGGTCTTGCAGCAGATGGGGGGTGAAATGCGAACACCCGTAGTGCCTACCTGGGGGAGAGGGGATCGTGGGCATTCAATGATCGAGGTGCTGCCAGAATGAGTCGAGTGATACTCAATGATCACCAGCCTCGACATGACTACAACCCACCGATCATATTTAGAGCCGAGTGACAGAGGCTGGGAAATTACTCCAAATATGGCATCTAGCTCAACTCCCCACCAATTTCCATCGTCTGCACATGTGGCGCGGAGTCAATTGAGTTTCCCTCTCTATGCTTCGAATGCGGAAGCGCTTTTCTGCCAAAATGGCTTCCCGATAATACCTGTGAATCAATTCCGGGGGAAGGCACCTGGTACTGCACGCATATGACAAGCTATACCATAAACCCACCCAACCACCGCATTAAACCCCCTCGATAAATCCTCCCAATCTACGCCTTCAACTCCCCCTGAATAGTAGCAACAACCTTCCTCGTATGCCGCGCCCTCCTAAACTCCAAATACCAAATCCCTAAACCTCCCCCCTCCTCCCTAATTAGCCCTCGGAGTCCAATCCCAACCAAACACCGCGCACAAAAAGAATGAAGAAGGAAAGGAAAGGAAAGGAAGGGAGACCCACCCTGCCAAGTCCCCAACCCCAACCTCCCCTCAACGATCGGCACCGTGACCGTAACGCCCACGAGCGAACTCTTGACATGAGCCGGCATGTCGTCCGTCCCCTCGGCATCGTGCCTGTACAGCCCCGCGTGCTTGCGGTCCTCGGGCACGATGCGGTCGAGCGCGTCGCTCATGTCGGCCCGCACGTCGCTGTCCCAGTTCTCGTTCAGCGACAGGGCGCACGAGGTGTGCTGGATGAAGAGGGTTAGCAGGCCGACGCGGTAATTGGCGAGTTCGGGGAGGGCGGAGGTTATCGTGTCCGTGATTAGGTAACTGCCGCGCGAGGAGGCGGGCAGTGTGAGGGTTTTTTGGAACCAGGACATCGTTTGCTGGGGGGTTTGTTTTTTGGCGGCTGGATTGGTTGGTTGGTGGTGGTGGGATGTTTGGATTGGATTGGATTAAATTTGGTGGGGTGATGGAGGGGTGGGGATGAGTCAGCGGGTGGAGTTTTATGGCGTCATGTTTGATCACTCGGGTAGCTTGGATTCGGGAGGAGCGGTGTGGTACTCGTAGGTTTTATGGCGTGCTATACGATATCATTGATACAGCGAGACTTGGTGAAGAAATTTGGAATAGCTTTGTCTGTAAATTAGGAGGTAAAAAACTCAAATAACTCAGGAGACGGTTGATCAATATCGAGTACGGTTACCTTCCTATTCGGACAATACTCTGTGAAGTTCGATGCATTAAGGGCATGTTCAGTCGCAACTCATATTTGAAATAGCATTCGTAGCCACAAGCGGAAAATCACGATTTCCAAGGAATTTCCGAGAGTCTGATTTTTATATTCACAGATGTTCACAGATTCTATGTTCAGCACCTATTTCATCATACTACTTATAGTGCAAAAATACTGTATGACGTGAGACTAGTAGTCTATAGCTGTCTTGTGTTCTCTCACTTTAACAATAACCTTTACAATCTACGTTTGAATAATAATTATAGTAAAAACAACTTTAAACAAGTGACTTCATCTCTATGGGGGCATCATAGTTTTTTTTTTTTTTTTTTTTGAAAAGTTTTGCTTTTATGATTAACTAGTTCAAGATCGGGTTCGTTTTGGGGGCCCACCCACTTTGTGTCGCTGTGCACTATACGATGGTGACGTGGATTCTGGGCCGGATTCTTGCCCTAGTCTCCTACTTCTGGGTACTCTTTCTGTTGAACCTCTGGTGCATGTGCGGGGGCTTTCTGGATGCTTTCCCAGAGCAGAGGCTGGTAGGGTGGGCAAGGAAGGGTTGCCGAGAAGCGGGGTAGGTTTCGCTGCTAGGGCATGATGTGTTGGTTGTATTGTTTAAGAAAGGATGGCAAGAGCAAAAAGCGACGATGCCTTTTGCATTTAGAGAAATATTTATCTCATAATAGTAAAATCGATGGGTGGATATAGATGAGCGGCAGGAAAGAGAAAGGAAAAAAAAGAGGAAAAAAGGGAAATAATGGACAAACTCTGTGAACAACTGGCCACACAAACTCGTCTCCATTGATCCCCGCGGTGTTCCCACTCTGCCGTGCACAATATATGCGTCTTTAACCGATTTATTTCTAGATCTACCAAGCTTCCATCCGCCCCTCTTATAGTACAACATTGTTGTTGGTTACGTTGTGTAATGATATATGCAGATGCGAGGTCGATTGGGAAAGCGCATGGGGTATCTTGACCCAATGGGTATGGTGGGTCGGGAGGGTGTATTAGAAAAGGGAGCGTAGGGTACCAATGGGCCAAGGATGTATTATCATAAAGAAGACCCAAACCACTCGGCAACAGAAAATGCGAAAGAAGACAGGGTAATGCGGTGAAGCATATTAGACAATGAGACATTACAGCGGACAATCCGAAGGTCTGGCATGTGCGGTAACGTACCAGTTCGTGGGTAAAGAACTTGCTGTGTGGGGCATCGGATTTCGTTTCGCCAGGTTCTCAATAGCTGGAGGGGGCGTCTGGCAGATTGTGGAAGAGGTATTGGGTTTTATTCATGAATGTCAAAACCGGCGGGTCCTTTTGGAAGGAGGCTCGGGGAAGGAAGGAGGGGCGAATTGCGGTTTTGGAGCGTGTCTGGGGATCAGGTCCGCCCGCTCCTGCAGTAATCTGGCGAGTTTTGTATACTTGTTCCTGACAGCCCACTGGAGCGGTGTTATGCCATCTAGGGCGTCAGCTAAGTTGGGATTGATATCGTTCCGTGCTAGGAGCATCGTCGTGATCCCCTCATGCCCATTCCTGAGGGACCACGAGAGCGGTGTTCGGCCATACCAGATGTCAGCTATGTTGGGATCAAGGTCGTTCCGTTCCAGGAGCATCCCCGTGGCCACCTCATTCCCATTTCTGGCAGCCCACAAGAGCGGTGTTTGGCCATCCCAGATTTCAGCTATGTTAGGGTTGAGGTCTCTCCGTTCTAGCAGGATCTTTGCGACCTCCTCACGCCCATTCTTGAGAGCCCACCAGAGCGGTGTTTGGCCATCTCGAGTGTCAGCTGTGTTGGGATTGACGTCGTTCCGTTCGAGCAGCATCCTCACGACCCCCTCATGCCCATTCCTGACAGCCCACAAGAGCGGTGTCCGGCCATCTCGAGTGTCAGCAGTGTCCGGATTGACGTCGCTCCTTTCTAGCAAGATCTGTAGGACCCCCTCATATCCTCTTCTGGCAGCCCATGTGATTGCTGTGTTGCCATGGAAATCAGTTGCTTGCGGATCCCATTTGTTCGTCTCTAATAAAGCAGTTGTTATCTCCACACACCCGAAATATGCAGCACCATGGAGCCCTGTAAATCCTCCAGGGGTGTCTTCATGATCCAGGGGCCGGTCAGGAGCGCCCATCCTACATAATATCAGTATCTTTGAAGATATATGCTTATCGTATTCGCCGAGTAGTTTTAATGCAAGTGTTTTCACAGTTTCCGTTGCTTCCCGCTTGGCATGTGTACCCCAGTAGCAAGCTGCATATCTAACAAAAGGGATGGCTGGTGGGACCGAACGGAGGGCAGGCGAATAGCCTTTGACGTGGTGAAAATTGAGGTATGTCAAACATATCTCCGCAATCACCGAGTGGGGTTTAGGGAACAAATCGGGATTATGTGAGAGGTACTCTTGTAGAGTATAGTGGACGGGGCGGACCGTCGATGAAGACTTCTCGACCGTGACAAGTCCTAGAGAGCATGCTAGCAGTGATTCTATCGCTGGAACATTCCGAACATTCAAGTCGATGGACCCTTTTTCCACTCCCAGAGCGTGACATAACTCATTGACATGTAATGGCCGCTCAGAATGTGATACCCACATTAGAACGTCCATCCCGAGTTTTGATCTGCTTCTTTGCTGCGCTTTCACTCGTGATAAGGTTGCCGCATAAGCATCACCTAGGCCCTCCCCTTTGGTCATCTCATCGAGCTTTTTCCTTCGCTGATGGAGAGTAATCTCGCCCAGGATCGCATCAATGTTTAGGGAAACGAGGAGGAAACTTGGCATGGTCGTTAGTAAGTCATAGCTCACGCTTGTATTGGGAATGCACTTGACATCTTTGCTTACATTTCTGAGATTTTCTCCGGTATGACTCTCATAATATCCGCCCGTAATTCATCGTCCATTGCTTTGGTGTCAGTGTCACGATCCAGCTTCATTTTCAGATAACTCTCAATATCATCCTGAGTAGGACTAATGGGCAGCCTAACCGCCTTGCTAAAACATTTCGTGATTTCATTGTTGATATGGGGCCTCCCTGTAAGGAAGACCCGGGTGTTAGGTGACGCCCGAACGATTTCTCGCAGTGACTCAAGGAGTTCTTGTCGATTCTTTGGGGTGGACTCGTCTAAAGCGTCGATGCATATAATTACCTGCGCTGGGGTCCCAACAGCCTTCTTCATGATTCCTACCAGATCCGGAATTCGAAGGCCTCGACCGCCAAACTCCTTTTTGGCCTTCTGGAAAGCCTCCCGTATGTATTCCGGGATCTCTCCTCTGCCGACAAGCTGCTTGAGGATGGCACCCAACATACTTGTAGTGGACTGTTCCTGCTGGGAAAGGAAATCGCAGTAGAGTCCCACAACAGCAATGTCTTTCCCCCCAGCCCGATCGCACAGACTGTCAATTACCAGGGAACTATTATTGGCTTGTGGTCAGTGGAATCTACATTACATTTCTCTGTAAGGGAGGCCTTTATACCTGAGATAAGTTTTTCCCACCCCCGGATTCCCATAACAGAACAACACTGGGTCAACGCAATCACCTTCCGTATAACTCCATTTCCTGAACTCGTTGGTTTCTAGTACCCAGCTCCCCACGCTATCGAGTCGGTCGGTTCGTACACCTTGGTGCCGTTGCTGTGGTTCGAGTGGCGATAGCCACTGCAGTATTTGGTGTCTCTCGGTGTCTGTTTCCGTAATGAAGTTGACAATGTTCTGGTTCGTCAACACATTGAACGAGTTGATATTACCGGTGACTTGCTGGTACCCTGAATACATCTGCACTATAGTCTATTATCTGGGTATCTTTTTCTGTGAGAGATAGAGGGGACTGAGGGAAGTGGGTATCTGTCATCTCAGGGTGTTTGAGGGAATCACTAAAAGTTGAGGAGAAAGGGGGCGATGACTTATCAGACCCTGGGGCTGCACAGCCGTGCTGTGGGCCGATCCTGACATCCCTCGTGCCAAGAAATCTCTTGACGGAAGCATGTTCACAAAGGGATTTCGCCTACAGATCAGCCTAGTATATTAAGGTGAGAAAAAGGTTAACCGGAGTCAATGGTTTGAGTAAGAAACGCAGTTCATCTATATTGCACTCCACAGTTGTAGTTCACGGTGTTATATATACGGCACCTACTCACACCACTTGTGGGGCAAATCATACTTATCGTGAAGTGGTCTATTAGAATGAAGCTGGCTTAGGGTTCAGACATTGACTTTTATTTTTTGTTTCCGATACCGACAAGCGAAGCAACTAAAACGCAACGACATTTAACTTATTGCCATTATCACCATTAAGAAACCGGGATTCAAGGGCAGAAGGAACTATATTGAACAAAAATTGAATGGTAAAAAGTAGCAAGAAAGGAATTCGAACAGGATGAATATTGAAAGGAGGTAAACGCAGTAAACGTACAGTAAAGTTATGCGACGAGAAAACAGGAAAAAGGAGGGAGGGAGACCTATGGTGAAGGGTAGTGTATTCTACTATATGTCAGCCCTGTCAACCTCCCGGAGTGATACAATTAGGCTTTAGAGCAATTAGATGATCTAACTATTTTGGTCTCAATACCCGTAGCGGGAGAAAGAAAAAGCGAACATGGCGCTTTAGGATGAGGAGGAGGCTTTTGATGAAGATATAGTGGTTGGGGGAGAAAATACAGGTGATGGTGATGACTGGTTTTTCCCCTCCTTATCCCCTCTGTTTTTCCAT